ATCTTAAAAATTTAGCACCGTTATGTCTTGGCTGCAAATATGTTGTGTTCTTTAATACTAGCGTGATAAGGAATTAGCGACCGTTGCGACGACCAATTTCAAACCTCGCAACATTAGTCTGATGGAAATCTATTATGACCTTTGTAAACTAGTGTAGAAAGAATAATAGGATACCATTTTAAAGTCTCGTTCAAATCAAAAAAATATTTAATATTTTCTTTAAATTAAATTACAGCAATAACCATCAGCGATATGTTAATTAAATGGTGCGCTAAGTGATGTTATCACCATAACGAATGTGTGCATTTTTCGTACTTATTACACAGCTTTCATTTACTTGATTGACTGAATATTCGGTAAATGTTAAAGTAAGGCAGAAAGCTGATATATGAAAACACTTCGTTGAGGAATCTGACCTTTGCCGTGACAGTGAATTTTGCCTGATATCAGTCTGAAATACCATTCCTCAAGATCAGACATTATAATTTGAGTTACTATGCTGTTTAAGCTCTGCTGACCTATGAAAACAGTGGTAAAAGAAAAACCAAGTACAATGGTAAATAATGTGAAATAGCCAAATTGTCTGGGGTCGCACTGCCTATGGTGTTTCGGTCAGTATATTGCGGACGTTTTCCTGAAGTCAGCGCCCACTGGTCTTTGGTAGATGTTGATGTCATCGTATGTAGTAGCTGATTCGCGTTGGACCATGAGGCATTGGATTAGAGTGTAGTAATACCCGGATTTAGGCTCGCAACAAATGTCGATATTAATTTCGTTTTATAATTTTTGAGGGGACTATAATTATTTTTTTATTATAAGCAAAATCATAATGTTTTTCCCAGAGCTGTTTTTCATAGTCGTAACTAAAGCTGGGCAATAAATGCCTATCGTTCCCGTGAGACATAAGACTCTTCATCACGCTCCTAACATGTTGTTATTTTGATTGAATGGAACTGGACGAAGTATAAACAACCATATGCCATTTTCTTAGTTGGAATGTTAGCTATTCGGTAATTTTAAATACCAAGGCTCCACTTCAGCAAACTAAAGAAATTCACCAGAATTTGTGACCACGTATCGTGAAATATTAGCACTTAGAAATAGAAGGCATCACGGTTGACGTTTGATCTGGAGGTTATATACATTGCTGTTTTCCAGGCATGTTTTGTTAGGTCGAGATGGAACAGGTATCCTGACCATTATATTAAAGGCAGGTCAGAAGCTTAACGAAGAATCAGTTTAACGCTGTAGTGAGTTTGCAGCGGATGCAAACAACTTTTACACACTAAGTAGTGCTTCTTCCGGTTGATACTTTAGGGTTGCTTCTGTTGAGTCGATAGACTCTACACGCGACAAACAATTTCACCTACTTGCTTAAGCGCAGTTTCTTAGCGGAGCTTACCCATTTGGGAAATGCGCGGGCATTTCCTCGTTTTCTGTCGACAAAATAGGTTTCAGATCCATAAATCAGACCGGGTAACACTGAATTCCTGAAACTGCGTTTCCTCAGTTTGACCTCTTCCTCAGTCTGCTCTCCGATTTTTAAGGATTAATAATTTTTTACCATTATATTTTCAGGTATTTTGAGTCTTGGTATTTCCCTCCGCTAGGACATCCTTAGTTTCTTACAGATGACATTAATTGCATGTGACCGCTCATTGACAAAGAGTCCTAACACACTGGCTGTAAATAATTCGTCTCAGCCGAACGACGTCATACCTCTTGCTCTTGCAGGTGTTCATAAGCTGACACGTCTTAGCATATGCGCCCCGCTCATTGGTTTTCATACAGGCGTCAGTAGTGTCTGCGCGTCGTGGGTTTACTCTTCTGCAGGTGTCAAGACGACTGCGAGCCCAGACGTAATGTTGAATGCTCTTCTCC